ATTATGTACCCAGCAACATTGTCCCTGAAATATGATGGTGAAATTAGGACATTTCCAGATAAGCAGAAATTAAGGAAATTTGTTAAAACCAGACCAACCTTACAAGAGATGCTAAAGGGAGCCCTTTGGACAGAAAAGCAACAACAGCCAACAACAACTGACCGTTAACACACATGATGAAATAACCCAGAAACCAATCCAGCTCTGGAAGTATCCAAAGTAAATAAGCCTACAAGATTGTAAGCAAGGAACCAGAGACACCAACCGACAAATGAGGACAACTATAAACCAAAAAAGAGGGAAAAAAGTCTGTGTCATTACAGAACTTCTAGATGGTAGGGAAGTCAAGACAACTACAAGATAGAACGGACTGTTCTACACTTGCGAAGAAAGCTATAAATAATAGGGTAACCTCAAAGAAAAACGATAAACCTTCACATCAAAATATAAAAGAGGACCACCATAAACATTCAGCAAATACTAAAACAATAGCAACAAAGGAAGTGATAACATGATTCATAAACAAAACAAGCTCAACATAGAAAATTATATGGAACAAAGAAATTGACACAAAAAGCACATGACAAAAACGACAGCAACAAATTCATATTTGCTGATAATTACATATCTGGCAAGGGACTTATCTCCAAGATTGATGGAAAACTCCAATGCCTCAACACCAAAGGAATTAACAACCCAGTTGAAAAATGGGCGGAAAACATGAATAGACACTTCACCAAGGAGGATATTCAGGTGGTCAGCTAATATATGAAAAGATGCTCACAATCATTGGCCATCAGAGAGATGTAAATTAAAACAACAATGAGATACATACTGTCTCACCCCAGCACTGATGGCAAGGTTCAATGAGACAGAAAATAACAAATGCTGGTGGGGATATGGAGAGACTGGGACTCTCATACACTGCTTGTGTGACTGTGAAGTGACACAACCACTGTGGAAAGCAATATGGTGATTCCTTAGAAAGTTGGAATTGGAGATATCATTTGACCCAGCAATCCCATTACTAGGTATATATCCTAGAAAGGTGAGAGCCAGGATAGGAACAGATACATGCACACTCATGTTCATCACAGCACTATTTACAATAGCAAAAAGATGGAAACAACCTATGTGCCCATCAGCCAAAGAGTGGATGACCAAACTATGGTACATACACACAATGGATTGCTATGCAGCACTAAAGAATAATGTAGAGTCTGCAAAACATCACATAATATGGATGAACTTGGAGGACATTATGCTGAGTGAAAAAAGTCAATCACAGAAGGACAAATACAGTATTAGTTCTTTGTTGTGGAGGGTCAAGGAAAGGTTTATACATGGAGGGAAACTTTCTTTGTTGGTTGCCAGGGGTGAGACAGGAGAGGAGGGAACACTGCAAAAAAAAAAAAAGACCCATATCACTTTAGTTTTGTGTATTTCACTGTACATGAATTATATTTCAATAAAATGCATTAAAAATCTTTTCTTATAAACTTTAAAATATAGTAGTTTTTACTGAAGAATTGTGTTTTCAGAACTAAGCACAAAGTGGGGAGCACACACAATTCAAATGGTAAAACAAATAAAAACTAGTGACATGGTGACTCTCATAAGGTATTTTATCTTCTAGTCAGGCTTTAAGTCTGAAGTTCACCCATTTAATCATTTTCCAAGAAGGTATTTTAAAGTGAGTTTGATTTTAGAAATTGAGGCTCAGATTATTCTATATGAACTGATCTGTAATTTCAAAGAATGAAATTTCACACTAAAGTTTTGTATTTCAAATGGCATGACAATATTGATCATGCATTTCCATAATATTAGAGCACAGACTATAGGAAACAAGCGCTTCAAAGCACTCTCAAGTCTGTCCAGAAAGGTTTTTAAATATTTTACAAAGATATATATTAACAAGATGAAATAAATGAAAAACAGGCATAAATGCAGGAAACAAACAAGGCTGAGAATAAGCTTAGAATTCAAAATTCAGCCATAAAAATCCAATGCATTTGTTAGAGGCAAGTGAGAAATCAACACCAAGCTCTCTAAGCAGCCAGTGTGGAGGGAAATGCTATCAGTCAAATAATTTTTAAGGTCTAGTAGATAAGCACGGGAGCTCTGGTGGCGGAGTGCCTAAGGCATTTGACTGCTACCCAGAAGGCTGCTGGTTCAAACCCATCAGCCACTCCTTGGAAGGAAGATGGGGCAATCCACTTCTATAGAGATACCATGTCAGAAACCCAAGGAGGGGTCCCTATGAGTCAGGACCAACTCAACAGCAGTGAGTTTGAGTAGACAAGC